TAAAAATGAAGACCTATTAAAATAAATAACACACCATAATCAAATAGATTTATTCCAAGAATGTAAATATGGTTTAACTTCCAGAAAATCTACAAATGCAGATCATCAACCTAACAAACTAAAGAAAAATCACAAGGTCATCTTAATAGGGGAAAAAAAGAACATCCAATAAAGTTCAACATCTACTTCATGATTTTTAGAAAAACTTTCAGAAAACTAGGAAAAAACAGGGACTTTCTTAACTTGCCAAAGCTATGTACCGAAAACCTACAATAAACATTACAGAGAACTTTAGGAACAAGACAAAGATGACGATATCGCTGTTACTGTTTAACATAATACCAATAGTCTCTGACATCATTATTCTAAAAAAGGAAATAAGAGGGAAAAGAACTGGAAGGGGACTAGTATAGTCTGCAGATGAAGTGATCATCTATAGTGAAAACGCAATAATCAACAAATAATAAGAAATAATAAGAGTCCATCTACTTGTGATATTTCTGTTAGAGCAGCACTAGATGACTAAGACAGCTCCTTAAAACCACTAAAAGACATAAAAGACAATCTGACTAAAGGGACAGATTATATCAAGTTTGTGGTTGGATGACATCATTGTAGAGATGTCAGTCTCCCCAAATTGATGTATAAACTCAGTACAATCCCAACCAAAATTACATATGAATGTTCCGCGGAACCAGACAAATTCACTCTATACAATCCCAACCAAAATTACATATGAATGTTCTGAGGAACCAGATAAATTCATTCTAAAGTTTAAAAGGAAAAATCAAGGTCCACAAACAGCTGGAGCAATTTTAAAGAAAAGAGCGAAGAGGGGGACTCACTGTACCAGACTAAAGGTTTTAAGAACCTGCATGCACTGGCACACAGGGAGCCCTGGTAGCATAACGGTTAAGTGCCCAGCTGCTAACAGAAAGGTTGGCAGTTCGAACTCAGCCAGCTGCTCCTCAGGAGAAAGACCTGGCAATCTGCTTCCGTAAAGATTACGTACAGCCGAAAAACCTTACCATGGAGTTCTACTCTGTAACACCTGGGGTTGCCATGAGTCAGAAATCAACTCGATGGCACACAACAGCAGCATGCCCTGGCACAGAGACAGGCAAACAGATGAGTGGGGGCAGTCTCTCCGACCCAGGGCTGTGGGGGGAGGGGCTTCATAAAGAGGACTCCATAAAGCAATGGGGAAGGATAAACTGTATAGATGACAATGTGTTTTTGAAAACACTAGAAAAACAAGACTGGCTGAGACCACCATTTTACACCTTAACCCAGACAGATTAAAGATTAAAGATTTGCCCAGTCAAATGCGTCTTTTGATTTCTTGACTGCTGCTTCCATGGGCGTTGATTGTGGATCCACGTAAAATGAAATCCTTGACAACTTCAATATGTTTTCCATTTATCATGATGTTGCTTATTGGTCCAGGTGTGAGGATGTTTGTTTTCTTTATGTTGAGGTGTAATCCATACGGAAGGCTGTGGTCTTTGATCTTCATCAGTCAGTGCTTCAAGTCCTCTTCACTTTCAGCAAGCAAGGTGGTGTCATCTGCATAACGCAGGTTGTTAATGAGTCTTCCTCCAATCCTGATGACAGTTTCTTCTTCATATAGTTCAGCTTCTCGGATTATTTGCTCAGCATACAGATTGAATAAGTATGG